CCCAGCTGTCAGCACAGAGCTCAACGCAGGGCTCAAACCCATGAACTGTGAGATGATGACCTGAGCCAAAGTTGGACGCTTAATCGACTGAGCCACTCAGGTGCTCCCATATAATCAACTTTAAAAAAACAAAAAACAAACTTAAGAATCTGAAATCCAGCACCCTGGCTTCATGGTTGGCAAACTACAGCCTGAAGGCCAAGTCTGTCCTGCCTATTTTTGTAAATAAAGTTTTGCTGGAACACAGGCTCTCCCACTAGTTTACGGATTGTAAACTATAAGGTTGTAGTCCAGTAATTACAAGACGGTTTGGATTACAAAGCCATATTTACTATTGGACGCCTGACAGAATAGTTTGCTGATTCCCTAACCAAGCTCAAGACAGAAAACAATACTGTTGATGTCCCTTGTATGCCTCTTTCTGACTATACTGTTTTCACTCCTTTTGAGGAAACTGCTACCTAAATTTTGTGTTATCATATCTTTTGCCCCCATGCAGTTTGTATGTATCCCTAAGTAATATCCCTTTTAATTTCTCTTACTTGAATTTTATGTGAATGAAACCATACTGTATATTCTTCAGTAGCTTCTTTCACTCAAAAGTCTGTATTAAAGACCTAATCATGTTGGTAGGTTAGTTCTTTTTCAGTGATAACAGGACTCCATTGTATGACTATACCATAATTTATCTGTTCTCTGTTGGTGGTCATGCAGCCTCTGTCCAGGTTTAAAAAACAAAAGCAAAAGACCCAATGCTGCTATGAACATACTTGTACATGAACCCCACTATAAATGACCAATGAGTGTGTGTAGGTAGGTGTATGCACACACACATGCATACACACGTACACACACACAAACACACACAATTCTACCCAGGGATGGAAGTGCTGAGTTTTGAGTGTATGCAAATAATTGTGCCACATACTTTTCAGAGTAGTTCATGAATTCCCCAATGCAATTTCAATAGAACACTTGACTTTATCAGACATCGCATTTTTGCAAACCTAGTATTTTAATCATTGTAATTTTAATTTGCTTGTCTATGATTACTAAGGCAGTTGAGCATCTTTCCACATATTTTATTAGCCATTTTCTTCTGTGAAATGCCGATTTGTGCTTTTGGCCAATGTTTCCATTGATAGACTTGTCTTCTGCTTTTCAACTGCAGTAGTTCTTTACATATTTCAGATATTAATACTCTGTCAGTTGTTACATATGGCAAATATCTCAACTCCAGCTTGTGATGTGTCTTTTCATTCTCTGAATATTTTTTAATGAACAAACTTTCCCAATTTTAATCTTTTCCTTTATACAATGTACATTTTGGATTATTTGGTTAAATTTCTCCCTACTCCAAGATCACAGATATTATTCTATTTTGTCTTCTAGAAGTTTTAAAACTTTGCCTTTCACACTTAAGTCCTTGACGCATTTGAGATTCGGTTTTGCAGAGAGTGTAAGATAGAAATCGTCTCCCTTTTCTTCCCCATGTGGATAATCAATTATTGAAAGCTCCATCCGTTCCCTCAGATTTTACAATGCCACTTCAGTTGTCTATCGAGAGCCCCACACACATGGCCTGTTTCTGCAATGTCGATCCTGTTCCGTCAAGACGATTTGTGTATTCCTGTGCATTACTAGCATCTTAATTACTACAGCCCTACAAAAAATGTTGATAGCGGGTAAAGCAAGTTTCCATGACCCATTCTTTTTCTTCAAGTATGTCTTTGCTCTTCCTTGGACTCTTCTGCATTAATTTTAGAATCAGTTTGCCAAGCACTGTGTAAAATCCTAATGGGATTTTCAATGGAACTGTATGCAATCTATATAGATCATTTTAGAGTGGAATGGCATCTTAAATACATTGTCTTCCTATTCATGAACTTACCATGCTTCTTGGTCTATTGGTGACCCTATGAATCTTCCCTTTTAATATGTTAATGTGGTAAGCTATACGAACAGACTTTTCTAATATTATCAACCTTACATTTCTGGAATAAACCCAACTTAGTTATTATGAATTATATTTTTCATACATTTGCTACCAGTTTCTTTAAAACTATTATGTTTATGACGGAGATTGGCTGATAAACTTTCTTTCCTGTATTATCTCCTGTGTGGCTGCATGTCGAGGTTACACAATTATCACAAGAAAAGGTGGAGTGTATTCCTTCTTTCTAGACTCTCAAGAAGTTTGTCTAAGACTGCAGGGATCTATCTGTTCCTTGAGATGTTTGACAAAACATATCTGTAAAACCATCTGAGTGTTTCAGAAAAAAAGAAATTATATACTGACTCAACTTCTATAAATTAAATGACCTATTCAATTTTTCTTTCTTGATTCAATTTTGATAAATTATGTTTTACTGTCCATTGCACCTTAGTTTTTAAATACGGGCATAACACTGATAATAGTATTTTCTTATTATTTTTAAAAATCTCTGCTTCATCTGCTCTTTGTGTTTGTTGATTTATTCTTGAATTCATTTTAGTTTTGGGAAAGAACAGAAATAGTTTTGTGTGTTTAATCTATTATATTTACCTAAACAAAAAATCACACAGAAGGTACATTCTTCCTTATCTATAAAAAGGAGGCAATACCAGAACCTACCACACACTGTTTTAGTGAGGATTAAATGAGTTAGTAATTGCAAAGTGCTTAGCACAGTGCCTGGCACATATTAAGAGTTCAAAATATCATAATTTTATTATAGGGAATTTAAATTAAATCAATATGATGTCTTTTTGTTCTACTGAAATTTAATACTCCAATATAACAGTAACTGGTTATGGACTACACTTCAAAAAAATTTTTAGTGTTTATTTATTTTTGAGACAGACAGAGACAGAGCATGTGGTCGGGGTAGGGGGGAGGGCCAGAGAGAGAGGGAGACACAGAATCCAAAGCAGGCTCTAGGCTCTGAGCTGTCAGCACAGGGCTCGAACCCATGAACTGTGAGATCGTGACCTGAGCTGAAGTCGGACACGTAACCGACTGAGTCACCCAGCCACCCCTAATGTTTCTTTATTTTTGAGAGAGGGAGCAGGGCAGGGACATAGAAAGAGGAAGACAGAGAATCCTGAATAGGGTCTGCACTGCCAATGCAGAGCCCAATGCGGGGCTCGAACCCACAAACCATGAGATCATGACCTGAGCCGAAATCAAGAATCAGATGCCAAACCAACTGAGCCAGACAGGCACCCCTGGACTAGACTCTTTCAACTGTACTTCTATTCTTTTTTCATTTTTTTCCCAAAGTTTTATTTAAGTAATTTCCATACCCAACATGGGGCTTGAACTCACGACCCCGAGAGCAACAGTCACACGCTCCTCCGACTGACCCAGCCAGGTGCTCCCTGACCGTACTTTTATTCTCATTGGCCTCATAAAGACACAGCGGCAATCCTCTAGTTCTGAAACTCAGTCTGGGTGTTCAGGTCCTAAGATTATTAACTGCACTCCTACTTTAAAATAAAATGCAAAACAAAGCAAGAGGTCTCCTCTGGGATGTTTTCCCCTTGAGGGCAAGGGCCATGCTTTTATCACCAAGCATATGCTATGAGCCTGGCACAATGAAAAAACTGTGAGTTCTTGACAAGCAAACAACACCAAAGAAATAATAAAATAATGAAGTTATGATGAAAATCATAAAGAAAACTCTAATAGCCTCACAAAGTTTTCATTATTAGGTGCCTTATAGTAATATGTAAACACTCAACTGATTTTATCCATAGACCCTTCATTAGGGAAACTCTCACTATAAGAAGGTCTTTCTACCCTCTCTAACAGAGAGGTACCTGTTAGGCATTCCACTCCCAGTCAATTTCTGTATGTAAGTTTAACCTCAAAAGAAAAATAATACTATAAAGAGATATTGAACTTCAGTTAATAATAAACATGCTCAATTATTTAGGCGGATGTATACTGATGTCTGTGATTTACTTTAAAATGCGTCATAAAATATGATGGATTGATGGATAGCATGTGGGATGGGCAGGTAAATAAATATGTGCCAAAACAAGCACAGTCAAGTGTTAATGGAAAAACCTAGATTGAATTCTATGGGTGTTTACTGTAAAATGATTTCTACTTTCTGTCTTTGAGAATTTTCCTTATGAAATATAGGGAATGATACAAACTCCTATACTTGGCAAGTTAAAAACAAAAAACTAAAATAAAAATATGAAAAAATGTTTATATTATACATATAGCAAAAGCTATTACAATATAAAAGACCTCATTCCAATTTATTAAAAAACAAAAAACAAGAGTCCTATAAGATAAACGGGAAAAGACGTTAACAAAATATAAACAGAAAACAAACCCATGGAAAATATTCAGTAACCTGTAACCAAAGAGAAATAAAGCAAACCTGCAATACCATTTTATACCTATTTTATTAGCAAAATTAACACACAAATGCATGAACACACACACAATTCTGGCAAGGCTGCAGCAGAAATGGTAACTCATATACAGCTGGCAGCATTCACTATAAACAAATACAGCCTGTTTGGCAAGTGGTCTGGCAGTCCCTAAGTCACAGTGTTCATCAAGTGCTTTGACCTGATGGTCTAACTCATTCAAATACGAACTGCATCCGTCCAAAGCAGCCACAGGATGTTCACTGCAGTATTATCTACTAAAGGATTAAACTATGAACAACCTAAATGGCCATCGAGAGAAGAAAGATCTAGGGAATGATGACACATCAATACAATGGAATATGATGCAGACATGTAAAGAAAATGACAATGACGGAAGCTTATGTGAAAATATGCAAAGTGTTCATGACACGACCAAATGGAAGACTATTTATAACTGATTGTGAAGCTATAAGAATAAATGAAACATGCACTGTAAAGAAACATGAATAATTAATGAAAATGACATGTTGAGGGGATTGTGGCTGATTTTCTTCTAAAATTGTCTTTAATCTTTCTGATCCATCTTTCAATTACAGCAATTAAAAAGCCCATCTCATGAGTCTACTCACAGTGCTGAGTTTGCTGCAGATGATGAGAATCCGGCGTTCATACAGCATACTGGCATACAGATGTAACATGTTGTTTACATCCACAGCCACAAAATATTCTGTCAGATTTCTCTAGGAGAAACAAGAAGGGGAGATCGTAGCTTATTTTGTTTGCTCTTGTTACAGGCGGTATCTAAAAAAGCATGTGAAGCAAAAAATCATCAGAAAGTATACTCTCCTCTGCCCCTGTCCTATTCTTTCCACCTGGGAGGCTGAATCCCACTGTGTGTAAAATCATGAAATGCAAAGTTGGAAGAGACTTTAGAGATGAAGCACTTGTGTGTGGTGACTACAGTTTAAGTGAGGTCACAGGCAGCACTGTGTTGCTTTTCTTATCAGTTCCAAAGGGTGAGCAGGACAGGAAGTCTGCAATCTTACAAATGAGGAAACCGAGGCTCAGAGAGGGATGCCAAGATCAAAGAGTCTCATGAGCAATAAAGACAGGACTGCAGCTCCGATCTTCTGACCCCAGATCCTAAGACTTTCCCAATGCACGGCACCATACGTGTAGTCAAGAGAAAGTACCCAAGGACCAAAATGCTTTTGGCACAGAGCCCGTTTCTGTCCAACAGATCCCACCCGCAAAGGCTGGGCACGCTCCTCTCTTGTCATCACTGCTGGCGTCCCCCTCCTCCACAGTTTACACTCTCTGAAAGGACTCGGCAGGAATTGGAGCAATTTCGAAGATTTACAATTTCCAGGTATTTCACTCAAAAGGCAAAAAAAAATTGCAGACAAGCAGCAAGTGGTGACAAAGCAGTGTTTTAACCAGCTTTTGTCTGTAGCCGGGACTTCATTTCTTTAATTAGTACTCTAGATTGGCCCTCTTTAGGTTTCAGAAAAAATACAATGTGTTTCATTTCTGCAATCCTTTCTATACCCACCTGACCTTAATAATATACATGAATATGTTAATTTCCTCAATGTTACAGGTTTTCAATGCCACACAATATAATCCTCTGAAAATGAAGGGGGTCAGGGAGGTAACACTACTGCCAAGGGGTTGCAATGTATAATGATGAAAGAGCCATAGCCCATAAATCCAAGAAAACCGGGTGGATTTTCCATGCAAAATAGCATAAAGTGCTTTTCAACAATATTACGGGTTGGGAAAAAGAATGGGCACTTATCTTATGATTTATTGTTGTTTGATTGGAATACCAGGTTAACCAGTGACCTTTATAGTGAGTGAATTAACAGTTCCATATACTGACTACCTACCAAGTACCAGGTACTATAGCAGATACTTTGTATGTGTGATCTTACGCACTTTCCACAAAACTCCAATGAGGCATTTCTCCCCCAATACATAAAGTACGTCTGAGAGAGATTCAGTAGCTGGTATAGTCAGAATTTGGACTCAGATCCAACTCCAGAGCCCATATATTTTCCCTTACGTTACATTGACCCACTTAAACATTTTTAAACATCTACAATACACACAGCTTTACATACGTTATTTCATTTGATCTTGAAACCACTCCTTGAACAGGTATTATCGTCTCTACATACAGATAAGAAAACAGAGGCAACAGATAAAATGAAGTAATATGACCAAGGTTACACACTATGTACATATTCAGTCTTGGGTGAGTTTGTCTCTAAGCCTGTGCTCATCGTTTATATCACCAAAAATTGTAGGTAAAAGTTGTATTCAGGAAAGAGAGCACAGCACAGGAACAAAGCAGGATCAAAGTATGCCTGCTGAAAGAGAAACACTGCTGTTAAGAACTGTTATCCCATGTACTGAGTAATCCTTATGTGCTGGACAACAGGTACTTTACCTGTGTTCTCTCTAATCTTTCTCAACAATGCTGAAAAAGGCAGTTTAATTTCCATTTTACAGATGTAGAAACTGAGGCTCAGGAGGGGTAAGTAGTCTGCAAAGGTCACCCAGCTAGAAAAGGCAGAGCCCAGTTTCAAAACCAGTCTCCTGAATCTGAAACCCTTGCTCTAACCACCACGCCGACTTGCCTCTTAACAAACTTGAAAACCAAAAACAAGAAAGGCAGTCTCAATGAGTCAACAAGTGGATCTCTTGCCCGGTGGACTGAGGAGTGCTGAGCTGATGATGTCAGGGTGGGGTTTGTTCTGAAGACCGTGACATGGCAGAGCTATTCTCGCAAACAAAAATACAAGGCCCTCAGCTGAGCATTTCAGTAAAATGCTTAACTGCTGATGAATTACATAAATTTTTCTTTTAGGAGAGGATGGAAGTAAAAAGAAAATAGAAATGAGGAGCTTAAAGAAGGCCAGAAAGCCCATTAGCACTTTTGACAGATCCAAAGATAACTCTGAAGCCACCAAAACGTGGCCTCAAGAGTCTGCCAAGAAGCTTCACGCTGGGTAGAAATATGTTACACAGCTTGCCGTCCAAATAAGGAGACACAGCGTCAGAGACAAATCCTGCACCTTATTTTGGTGGGAGAAAAAAAAAATCATAAGGATACTTTTGTGGATGGGGAAGGAAACATTTCTGAAATAAAAACACCACTTGGTTGAGGCATAACCCCCAGGCCCAATCGGGTTCGGAGGGATTCAGGTGCTTGTTCCAAAAACTCTACACAGGTATGTTAAAAATATGTAACATTTAGCCAAATTCTCTCTAAACTGTCATGTACTTTTTTTGGTATTTCTCATCCCATCTGTGCTGATTACCAAGATATTTGTGTCTAAACAGAAGCTGTCTTTCTTATCTGCTTCCTCCCCTGCCTCTTTCCTTCTGGGAAGCCACCCGCCCAGGCGGGTGGGAGTGGGTGGGAGTGGCGACAGCCCCGGGAACTTCACTCAGCCTTGGGAGCACCTGTGGGGCAGAGCAGGCCATGGGAGCACCTGTGGGGCACAGCAGGCCTTGGGAGCAGCTGCAGGGAACATTTACAGTTTCCACCATGCTTCATCTCTGAAGAACACCCCTTGGAGAAAGGGGTTTTCTCCCTTGTGCCTTAAAGGATCCAGTGGCTTAAGCCCCACCAATCCCCAATTTCTCAAACCTGCCATGCCTTTTCTTACCCTCAGGTCTTTACTTCTGTTGTTTCCTCCTCCTAGAATGCTCTTCTCCTCCTTGAGGACACCCATTTACTTTCCAAGACCCAGCTGAGATGTCACCTCCCCCTGGAAGTCTTCCTAGACTCCTCATTTGTCAAGCTCCTCCACTTTGAGCAGGCATGGTGATTGGTCTCTATCTTATAACCACTCAGTTACAAGTAGGTTTTTGTCACTTCACTGAGGTCCCTCTGGGTATAATGACATATCCCATCACCTAGCAGTTTGATGAAAGAATCAATCAGTAGAGAAAGCAGTGACTAAGACTCCTTAGCTGGACTAAGAGGAACACACCAGCCTGGAAGACAGACAAGGTGGTGTATTAGGAAGAACACAGCATTGACGTCAGAAAACCTGGGTCTGAGTTGGATGAAGTGATCAATGGTGAAGGGCTCATGGAAAACAAAATTGACACTAGCAACTCACAAAGTCAGATAAAATGGCAGGGGGGTGGGATTGGGACTTGTTTAAGGTGTGTGTGGCTCTATTTATTAAAAGTGTAAAGAAATAGGTGGTTTGTTCATCAGGTAATGGGGGAGGGGCTGCATGCAGAAGCAGGTGTTTATTTCACAGCCAGCTCAATCATGTATGTCTGATGGGTAAGACAAGAGTGTAGGGAATAACGAGAAGAGACGACTTCCATAGCAAGTTGTCCTAGGTCAAGACTGCAGCCAGAATATACTGTGAGCTTATATTTATAAAGGACACAAGGTATACTACTCTCCTAGCACTTTCCTTCAGTGGGACTAAATCTTCAACCTCCCATTTCTGTCTCCTGTAATCAGCCAATCAACAAACGTATTTAACTCCTACTATGTGTTTAGTACCAACCTGGGAGCTGGGCCTGCAGAGATTAAAGAAAAGATGATCCCCATTTTCCAGGAATTTAGCCTGGGGATGGCAATGGCATCAGTATGGTGTGCAAAGTACTGTGGTCCAGGCCGCACACACTCCAGGGCCGCCTGAGAAGGGCAGATTCAACTTTGCTGGACCGATACGGGAGGAAGGCTTGACAGAGGAGAAGATATTAGGTCTGGGCCTCCCACCAACGGTTCACTCAGTGGACACAGGAAGAAGCGTATTCCAGGCAGAGACAGAGGCAAGGAGGAGAGAAGAGCTCTTAGCAGTTCAGTAAAATGAAGAGCAGGGTTTAGAGCAGGGGACATGCTGGGGCAGGGGAACTGGGTGCAGATTCTGTGAGAGCCTAGACTTCCCTTGTGGGTCAGAGGGAGTTGCTGAAGGATCATGATATAATCACATATGTGTTTCGGAAAGATCTTCCTGGAGGTCCTATGGAGGACGCACAGGAGAGGGCAAGCAGGAGGCAGCACAATCAGTAAACAGGCTGGCGCCATATTCCCAGAATGAATGACTACAGCAAAAAAACTATTGAGATGAAAGCTTTGGATACAGATGTGACAGATCTCTGTAAAGTGGAATCACAGGACTTGATAATGAATTAGACCTGAGAAGTGGAGGGGGGAGGAAGAATCTCAGACAACGCTCAGGACTTCCAGGTTACGGAGTACCACACTTGTCCACTTGCCCGGTTTTTTAGAGGGAGAGTCCACTCACTTAATGTGGGATCAGTCCTCCTTGTAAAGAACCATCAATCCTGTCAAGCAAGGTGTTGCCGCTCACCTGGTCTTGGGCCTAGTGTCCTGGATTATAATGCCACCAAGGCTAAGTCTAAATCACCATTCCCTTTATTCCCTGACAATGAATTCTCTGTGTGACTCACCTACTGGGAAGGAAAATCTTGCTTAGAGGGACTATTTCCAGTGTCCAGACTCAGAAGGGTTCAGTTTTCTCAGTGCCAGTACGTTTTTAGGTTTAAGGACATTCTGTTTCCATTCATAGAGCTCAAGCATTATTTCAGTTACATATCAATGATGTGCCTTGTGAGCATTCTCCTATCTGCCTAGCATGTATTATGGGCTTACTCTGTAGGGCTGGGTAGCAGGGATATGAAGCTGACCACTACTTGGGCTGGGAAGGGCTCAGGTCCAAGGAAGGTTTCTAGTCAACAG